GTGACTGCCACCTCCCCTTAGACAGCCCGGGTAGGGGTGGCCGTGCCTTTGCCCGGGTAAGTTCCCCGGACATTAACCATGGGTCTTAGAGGGGATGAGAACCTGCACCCAGGTTCAGGACTGCAGCCCCGCCCTGTGACAGTTTACCCAGCCGCCGGTGACCTTTGCCATCATTAGGGGCTGAGATCTGGTGGGGGCTGACCCCGAGGAGCCCTGTGGCGGCTGCCTCCCTGCCTACTTGAAGCAGGTACTGTCTGCACCATTGCTGGATGTACGTTAACTTTGGTCCTTCCCCTGCCCCTTTTTCACCCCCAAATAAGACCTTCTACTTCATTAAAGTGTGAAAGAAAAACTCTCCCCTTGGTCCAAGCGGTTGTTGCAAAGCAGATTAAAGGAGGGTGTTTTTGACCCGGAGGAGACTGAGCAGCGGGATGTGCTGGGGCCAGGTCTGCAGCCTCTGAGGGCTCCGTGGAGGGTTTCCTCTCTGGAAGAATCTCCTTGAGAGTTAACCTGGAATGTTCATGCTCCAGCAGGCAGGGTTCAGTTTTTGTCTTCCCCAGAGCCAGCGGCCCCTAGCTGTGACAGGTTTTTCTGGAAGAACAGCCTGCTTCTCTCCATGGGCAAGGCCTTGGGTTGGGAGAACATTCTGTTCTTGCAGGTGTGCTGGTGCTGTGCACCTGGGGGGACGAACAGCTCCAACACTCTGGGCCCCACAGGTTACCTCTTGGTATCCCTTACCCCGGGAGGGAGGCTCTGCCCGCGGCTGATTGCCACCCCCCACCCCTGGCACATCCCTCTCACCCCCTCATCCTGCCATGGTTTTCATTTTCCCAGGTCCCCGGTGTGCACTCCTTCAGCAGGCCTTGGGGGAAGATGGCGGCCCTGGGGGATGGTCAGGAGCCCCCTCATGTCCTGTCCCCGGTCAGTTTCGAGTCACCCGGGACACCTGGAGCCCACCACCATGAAGCCCAACTTCACCTCCACCTCCACGGTCATCAACATGGTACTCGCCTCCCTGCACCATCACTGCGGGCAGGCAGCTTGCTGGGCACTGGGGCTCCTGCACCCTGGTACTTGGGTTGGGACTCGGGCAGTGGTGGTTGAGCTTTGGGCTGAGCTGTGTGAGCAGTAGCTCCCTAGGGGACAGTCCCCTGGACTGTGTTTCTTTAGGGGATCAGTGCTGCAAAAAAAGCAGCCTTGATGGCCAGGCCTGTGTGACAGAAGCAAGTCACCTTGTCTCTCCCAGCCTTTGCTCCCATGCCAGGAAATAATGTCTAGAGATCTGGGCAAGCTGGTTTGGGTGGGGACCCCTGTGGAGATGGAGCCACCAACCTTGCTCCAGCCCCCAGCAGGATCTGGGGGTGTCCACGTGTAGAATAGCCAACAGCTGGTTGGGGAGGATGCCCCAGCCCTGTGGCATGTGGTGCCCCAGGCCCTGCTCACACTCAGTCATCAGAGTCCGGGGCTTCCTTCCCTGTCCCACGTTCCACAGGAGGCCTGGCCTCACTCCTCTCACAGTGGAGGACACAGATATGCTGGTGACAGCTAGATGGGGGCCCAGATGTGTTCCATTGCTCTCAGGGCAAGTCTGAGCCTGTGCCGCTGTCCTGAAGAGCTGGCAGTGTGCCCAGGGCCCACTCTGTGCCCAGGGTTCTCACTCTTAGCAGGTCCTGGCATTACAGCAAGTGATGTTATGGCAGCTGAGATGGGCTGAGCACCAGCTATGCTGGGTGGCAGCTGTGTGCTGAGGGCTCTGTGTGGGACCAGAGGAAGCCAGGGGTGGGTGCTAGCACACAAGGACAGTGAGGCCCACAGAGGTCGAGGGGCGGCCTGAGGTCACACGCAGTCAGAGATAATGAGTCAGTTGAGGACTGGAGTAGGAGCTTCTAGCGTGCCCTGTGACGGCCAGGCTGGGGCACGTGCAGTGGGTGTGGAGCTGGGTGCCGTCCGCAAGGAGCCCAGACCCTGCCCCCCGGGCACACACCTGTGTGGGGCTGGCAGAGCCAGCTGCCTCTGCCCACACAGCAGTTGGAGGGCGCCCACACTGCCCCTGGGGGCCTGCACTTCACCTCCAGCTCCTCATGTCACCCTCACACCAGCCTGGCGAGTAGGTCCTCCTGTCGCCACATATCTGATGGGGACCTGGAAGCCCAGACCTGAGCCTGTGGAGACCAGCAGAAGCCAGACCCCACAGCCTGACTCAAGCACTTGCCCTCAATGCCCTTGCGGGCCCAGCGCGCCATAGCTTCTCCCCGAGGAGGCAGACCAGCAGGACACAGGACTCAGGACGGGCTGTCCTGAGGATAAGAAAGCTGGTCCCCAAGCCCCTGCAGAGCAGGGCTGCCCCGACCTAATCTCGCCCAGCCACGGGCAGCACAGGCCCAGAGGCTGGTCTTGGGTGCTCTGAGCCATGTCCAGGTGCCCTGAGGTGCCTGAGGGTTGCCCAATAGGAGGGAGTGGGGCTTCACCCCTCCCCACTGCATCCAGGCTGTTTTCCAGGGCAGAGAGAACCCCTCAGGCTCTCGAGCCTTTCCTCTGCTGCTGAGGCTTCGCTCTTCAGGGGTCCACAGAGGCCTCTGCAGGAAAGACCCCAGCATCTCAGGAACCTGCCCAGAGCCCTCCAGCCAGCGAGGCCAGGACTTCTGGACCCCCAGCCTCCCAACTCCCAGGTCCAGGTTGGTGAGATGGGCCAGAAAGAGCATTCGGGGAATCCACTCTGGCAGGCCTGAGGGACCCTCAGACACAGCCAGGCCTGAGCCCAGTGACCCCCCCCCCCAAACCCACCCCACCTCACCTCAAGGACCATTTCTGAACCTACAGCTGAGCACAGTGCTGGACGCCAGGGAAGGCCAGAGGGTGTCCTTAGAAGGGAAGCCCTGGTCAGCTGGAGTGGGGCAGGGAGCAGCATGGGCCGAGGGGACGGGGCCTGGTCCCTGGCAGGGATGCTGGGGGAGCAGTGCAGGCGCAGGGCAGGGCGCGGCCCCTCTTGGATCGCTGCTCCCAGAGACTAAAGCGGAGCCACGCCCAGCTCCACTGGGCTGGGCGGCGGGCCTGGCGCAGTCCCTCAGGGAGTAATGCCCTGCAGGCGGAGGGCTGGACCCCTGGGGCTCACCGGCTGGAGGAGGGAGGGGCCCCTGGCCAGGAGGCAGTCTTTGTAGAGGTGCCCCTGACCTGGCGCCTGAGACAACTCCAGGTGCCCAGTGGCCAACCCCACCCCCCTGCTCCTCTCCTGCAAGTGCGTCCAGGCCCAGCAATGCACTTTCTGGGCTGTTTTACGAGGAAAACTTTGAGCCAAAAAACTACCCACTGCCTTCCCCCTGGAGCACCGGCCACAGTAGCGCACTGTCCACTTGAGCCTCAGGCCTGGGGGCCATGGCCAGGGTCGAGCAGGCCTGTCACTGTTGCTAGTTAAGAGTGGCCTGCCTTCAGGCCAAGCTGTTACCCTTCCATCACGGCCACCCTGGAGGTCCCCAGCGTAGGGGGGCACAGCGCTGAGCTCTGTGAGAGGCTGTGTCAGGATGCGGCCGTATGAGCAGGGTGTCCACCTAGCGGGACGCCCGGCCAGCCCCAGGCTTGGGTGGTTGAGTGACAGCGGCTGAGGGCAGCAGCCCAGAGCTGCCGGTGCTCCAGGCCCGGCCCCCCCACCTCCCCCACTGCAGTGCAACCATGTGTTGTCTTGGGGCCCCTCACACACCCATCTCCTGAACACTCCAACCCGTTATGGCTCTCAGGAGCCTCCAGAGGAGGGGAGATGAGCCCAGGCCCCCTGTGACCCCCAGGCTTACCCAGCGGCAGCCCTGAGGTGCCCTCTGGGCCCCCACAGGAGGCAGGGCCATCAGACCTGGACTTCCAGGACATGGCGGAGGCCCGGATCTGCAGAGACAGCTGCTGGTCAGGTGAGTGAGTAGGCCGCACTAGGGCCCTGCCCGCAACAGTTACCTATGGCTGCTGCCTGCCAGGCTCCAGGCTGTGGGAGCGAGGTAGGCTGTGTGCCCACCACACAGCCAGGCCCCCAGGCCTCTCTCGTCCCTGGCTCAGAGCACTTCCATCCCCCACAGCCTGTACCCACTGACACCCATCCTGTTGCCTCCACTCTCTGGGCTGTGAGTGCTGCCCAGGCCCCTATAGCCCCCCCGATGCTAGCGTCTGCCCTAGCATCGCTGCCACCCCAGACCGGCGCTCAGGGAGTCCTGGCCCCCCTTGCCCCAGTGTATCCCCCCCTCTCCGGTTGCCCCCTAAATCAAGCTCTGGCCCCATCCCCTTCTCCCCAGGGCCTGAACCTGGCTTCACCCACCCAGGCGCTGAACCCCTCCGTGTCTCTGCCGCCTCACCCTGCCCCGCCTCTCCCCCAGGGAAGCCCTTGTGGTGTCCCCTGGGGGTCCGTGAAGCAGCTCAGGGGCCTGGAGAGGCGCCGCCTCGGAGGACAGAGCAGCAGCTGCTGGCTTCCCGGCTGGAAGCCTCGCCCCTGCAGGGCAGTAGCCTCGGGAGCAGGGGCTTTTCTGTTTGGCTCCGAGTCTGAACCTCCTGTCTGCCCCGCCCCTGAGCAGTCCACGCAGGTCCCATCCGCTCCCACCCTGGCGCAGGCACCCGGGGTGGGACGGGGTCCCGTGAGGGACGGCCACTGAGAGCCGTCCGCCTCTCCTGCTTCTCTCTTCAGGTTCGGAGTCGGAGCCAGAGCAGGCCCCGTCGTCTCCCTGCCCGCACGGTCCTGAAGATGAGGTGCACCAGGCTGGGGGCGTGCTGAGGACCCTGCTGAGGAGCCTTCCCCGCAGACCCGGGGTTGGGGACCACTTTGGGCAGGAGCCCAGCCTGGAGCGGCCAGCAGGCCAGCCACCGAGGGCCGGGCCCCGTTCCCAGAAGAGAGGCACCTGGCTCGGGTCGCAGGGAGCCTCCGGAACGGAGGGCAGCCCGGGGCGCACGGTCGAGCTGGCGGGCAGCCTGAGCCGGGGCTCGGGGCTCGGGACCCAGCAGGGCGGCCCGCGGGGCGGGAAGCCGCACAGGTGCGAGGCCTGCGGCAAGAGCTTCAAGTACAACTCACTCTTGCTGAAGCACCAGCGCATCCACACGGGCGAGAAGCCCTACGCCTGCCACGAGTGCGGCAAGCGTTTCCGTGGCTGGTCGGGCTTCATCCAACACCACCGCATCCACACGGGCGAGAAGCCCTATGAGTGCGGCCAGTGCGGCCGCGCCTTCAGCCACAGCTCGCACTTCACGCAGCACCTGCGCATCCACAACGGGGAGAAGCCTTACGAGTGCGGTGAGTGCGGCCAGGCTTTCAGCCAGAGCTCCAACCTGGTGCGGCACCAGCGGCTGCACACGGGCGAGAAGCCATACGCCTGCAGCCAATGCGGCAAGGCCTTCATCTGGAGCTCGGTGCTCATCGAGCACCAGCGCATCCACACGGGCGAGAAGCCCTACGAGTGCCCCGACTGCGGCAAGGCCTTCCGCGGCCGCTCGCACTTCTTCCGGCACCTGCGGACCCACACGGGCGAGAAGCCCTTCGCCTGTGGCGCCTGCGGCAAGGCCTTCGGCCAGAGTTCCCAGCTCATCCAGCACCAGAGGGTCCACTACCGGGAGTAGCCGGCGCTGGGGACACAGGGTAGCAGCCTGGGGTCGAGGCGGCATTCCCACGGTGGGCTCCTGCCTGCGCACCCTCCTGGTTGGCACAGCTGGCATCACATGCCATGTCCCGAATAAATTTTTTGTACTTGATGGAGACAAGAGGAGGCCCAGGAGCTGACTTCACCATCTTGGGCTCTGTGCAGGGGGTGGTGCAGATTGCATGTGCATGTGGGTCAGTAAATAACAAAAATGGACCTAAACCTGGAGATTTCAGTTGGATACAGGGGTTTTTATTTTTACACGAATAGAAGCAGTGTACCATGCTGGGTATGAAAACCGACTGGAATCTAAAGCCCAACTCTACACTTAACTGTAAGGTTAGACAAGTTAATCTCTCCAAATGTGTTTTCTAATTAGGAAAAAAAGATATATTAGGGCTCTCCAGAGAGGCAGAGGCAGTTGGAGAGACAGGTAGGTTAGGAATTGGCTCCTGAGGTTACAGAGGCTGAGACGCCCCAAGACCTGTGTGGGCGCTGCTGGAGACCCAGGAGCATCAATGATGTAGCTCCAGTCTGGAAGCAGGCAGGCCTAGGACCCAGGAAAATGCAGTGTTTCAGTCCACATTCAAGGGCAGAACGAGACTGATACCCCAGTTCAACAGTCAGAAAGGAGAAGTTCACTGTTACTCAGCCTTTTTGTCCTATTCAGTCTCTCACACATGAGGGTGAGAAGCCCCAGCACTTTACTCAGTCTACTGACTCAGATGACCATCTCACCCAGAATAATGTTTGACCAAATATCTGGACACCATGTGGCACAGTCCAGTTGATACATAAAATTAATCATCATTAGCAAGGATAAGATCATACTTGATGCTGTAGAGTTGGCCTCATTCCTCCTGCTATGGGTGTTCTCTCTCTCTGGGACACAGTCTAGAGCTCAAAGGAGCCCCAGATCTGTTGCTTCTATTTTACACACTAGGGGGGGAGGGAAACATTCCAGAGGGGTTCTGCTGGAGTCTTAGGCCACTTACTGTCCATCCCTGGGCTAGGGGTTCTAACCAGGGAGATGGGCTTGGAGATTGCCATTCAGCCTGATTCAAAGTCACACCGGTGGCTGGCGACAGGATGCTGGAATGAGCAGACAGAACCACAAGTTCCTCTGCCCACATTTTCAATACCGTTATTGTCCATGTGCTTGTCTTTGTCAGTTGCAATGCATCATTCCATATGGGGCTACCTCAGTATCTCATAAGTCTGAACTGGACAAGGGGTTAGGATGGACCCAGACTCCTGAGAAAGGAGCATCTCCAAGGCCGGGGTCAGAGCTTCATGAAAAACATCCCCAGACCCCACATCAGGGAAGACAGATTCAGTAGACCTGTGGTGGGGCAAGGGAATCTGGATTTAGCTCCAACACCCCCAGTGATGACAGTGTGCCAGGCTTGGTGGCCTGTGGCCTCACCCAGCCCCTCAAAGCAGATGTTTCTGCATGGGCGATGGTCCCAGCCCTACTCACACCATCTGGAAGGGGGCCAGCACTGCTGGACTGCCTGGCTGAGGTCAGGGTCTGCCCTCCAGCGCCAGCCCTCCCAGTTCTGCCCTCTGGGCCTGTCGTAGCCTGGCTGTGCTCAGCGGAGGAAGAGCCCTCAGGATTTGAAGGTGGTGGTCACGCTAGGAGCCGTCTACTCGCGTCTGCGGTTCTTTCCTAAGCGCTGGGTTCGTGGACTTGCCTCAGCCACGGACAGTAACGTTCTCACCGCAGACCGAGCCCGCACGCGCCCTTCCTCCCCTGGGCCGCCCCAACAACCCAGAACTCGCCTCCGCCTCCCAACCCCCTCCACCAGAGTCTTCTGGAGTCACGAGTTGGGTGCTGTCCCTTGCTTGCTTGCTTTCCAGAGCCTCTCCTACCGCGCTTAGGGCCCTACGCGCCGAGCCTCCTTGCCCTTTCCCTCCCAGGCTCTGTCTCTGCCTCACCGCCCGCTTCTTCGAGGCCCCACGGCGAGCTGCTACCCAGCACCTCGGACAGCTCCAGGGAAGCGCGCCGGTCCGGGCGCAGGTCCACTGCCCCGAGGCTCGCAGGCTCAGCCCAGCGGCTCCCGGGGTCTCCTCTCCGGAGACCTCTGTCCCGGGCCGGGTTCCCCGCGGGCCCCCCGAGCTTCCGAGAGCTCCGGGAAGTGCTGGCGGCGCGGGGCGGGGCTCGCTGTGGGCGCGGCGCGCGCTTCCGGCTCCCCCGGGCGCTGCGGGTCCCTCGGCCCTGCGGCCCAGCTGGCGGTGGACTTGGTGTCACGGCCGGCCCCCGCGGGCCTTCCTCCCACAGTCCGCAGAGCTGCGTCCGTGCGCCAAGAGGGCGCCCCCCCGCCCGGTGGGCCCAGGGACCGGACGGCCGCAGGCCAGGTTCCCAAATCATGCTTCTCCCTCATTTTCGGGAGCCCGCTGGAGGAGTTGACAATCCCGGGAGAGGCCGGGTTTCGCTTTGGAAGAAGTTCGTCTGGGAGTGTGCGGGCGAAGCTTGTGAAGTCCGGGCCGCTGCGCCCCTGCGGGGAGGCCCCGGACACGGCCCCATCCGCGCCGCTGGGATGTGTTATCCTGAGACCTCCCCACGGGTCAGCACGACTTCACCCACTGTGACCTCACCTCCCACTCCGCCTGCCAAGGGCACCAGGCCAGGCTCTCCTCTTCTGGAGGGGGGGGGGGACCCAGTGACACGGTACTCCCCTCTCGAGCGCCGGGCTTTGTCCCTTTGGCCATAGTCCTGACCTCGGCATCTGTCATTCAGTGTACGGCCCAATCTCCTCCCCGCTGCCCTGCCGCCTCGTCCCAAGGATCAGCCAGATTCCGGGTCTCCGGGGAAACTGAAAGCTAGTCCTCAAGCAAGACAGGTTTTAACAGATCTTTTAATTTTTTTGTTTTAATTTTAAAAGTTTATTTGAGCAAAAATCATTTGGAATCAGGCAGCCCCAGACCGGAAGTGGTTAGGAGGGCTCCCAGATTTCCGTTTCTTTAAGGACATTGCCGGGGGGTGGGGAGGGGTGGAGACAGGTAGTGAGTTGGAGATCGACTTGTACACACTGTTATATTTGAAATGCTGCTGCTGCTGCTGCTGCTGCTGCTAAGTCGCTTCAGTCGTGTCCAACTCTGTGCGACCCCATAGACGGCAGCCCACCAGGCTCCCCCGTCCCTGGGATTCTCCAGGCAAGAACACTGGAGTGGGTTGCCATTTCCTTCTCCAATGTATGAAAGTGAAAAGTGAAAGTGAAGTCGCTCAGTCGTGTCCGACTCTTCCAGACCCCATGGACTGCAGCCTACCAGGCTCCTCCGTCCATGGGATTTTCCAGGCAAGAGTACTGGAGTGGGCTGCCATTGCCTTCTCCTTATATTTGAAATGGATAAACAGCAAAGACCTACTGAACAGCACAGGGAATCCTGCTTGATGTTATGTGGCAGCCCGGATGCAAGGGGAGTTTGGGAGAAAGTTAATACCTGTATATGTATGGCTAAGTCGCTTTGCTGTCCACCTGAAACTATCACATTGTTAATAAGCTTTACCCCAATACAAAATAACATGTTGAAAAAAATTTTTTAAAAAGAAAGAAACAAGATGAAAAAAATAATATTTTGGGAGTTTGTTCCCTTCTCACACACTTCCTCCCCCTAACCTTGATCCCTGCATAACCCCACCCCAGACATGGGGTTTAATTCCCTTGTTCCCTGAATTAAATGAGATGACGTGCCTTCCCCAGGTCTCTGCATGCTCCGGTTCAGAGGCTGCTGTCATCTGCTGCCTCCCCTTCTGGCTTCAGCTCAGAGTGAGGAGGAGATTCCAGGGCAGGAAACCTCAGAGAAGGCAGAACCCCAGTGTGTCCAGGGGACAAGTCTCAAGTCTCCGGCGGGCAGGGCCAGGGACCTGCCGGACTGTGCAGAAGCCATCAGGGTTCCCAGCTGGCAGGGCTGCCATAGGAGACCTGCCCGCACCAGGGGCAGGAGGAGGAGAGGAACCAAGACCTTGAGACCGGAAGCAAAGCCAGCCTCACCGCCAGCCTGTGACCTGCCAAGGAGACCGCACAAGAGGGAGGCTGGGAGTGGCGAGCCCTGCTGTTTGAGCCACTCTGAATCTAGCAGGCATGGGGAGCCCCGGCGCGGGAACCAGCTCTCCACCGGCCTGTAGGCCACAAGGCCTCCCTGCGCGGACCAAGGCCTGAGCGGCAGAAGCTTCCAGGTGGGGAGAAGTCTCACCAGTGCGGCCAGTGCATGCAGGAGGGTTTTCAGGTGGACGTCGGACCAGAGGATCCACACTGGCAAGAAACCATCTCGTGTAGCCAGCGCGGGAAAGCTTTTGTGCACAGCTCCCAGGTCATGCAGCCCCCGCAGTTCCACAGCAGCGAGAAGCCCTTTGCGTGTCCGCAGTGCGGCCCTTCCTTCAGCCAGAGCTCCAGCCTCACTCAGCACCAGCAGGGCCACCCCGGGGAGGAGCGGTATGCCTGCCAGGAGTGCGCGGCGCCTTCAGCATTAGCGCCTTCCTCAGCGAGCACCCGCGTATCCACACCAAGGAAAAGTCTCTGAGTGCAGCGGCATCCTCAGGGCCCTGTCGGATTTCTTCCAGCACCAGAGGGTCCACACCGCGGAGAAGCCTTTCGCTGTGCTGAGTGAGCAGGTTCTTCCTCTGAACTCGCACCTGAGCCAGTGCAGGTATGTTCATGACAGAGTGAATCCAGGCAGCCAGTGGTGGGGTGGTGCGCTGGGGCCTCTGCTGCACCGAGGTGACCCTGCACCGGAAGGCGCTGGAGACGCTGCGGACGCCTGTGGTGGTTTGGTGCAGGCGTGGGGAGAGCTGCGCTCAGACGCGCCCTGAAGCTGGCCCGGGCACCTACACCCCGGTTAAGACGCCTGCGCTGGCTCCCTCGCCCACCGCCCTGCCAGGCCTTCACTGCCCCCTGGGCCGCCCGGTAACAGTGCGAACAGAGTCCCACTGGCTCCCCCTGGCAAGCGGGACAGGAGGTC